GGAGCATTGGTAGTATGCAAGTCGTTGATATAACGCCCATAAGACACCCACCATCTCATAAACCTGATATCCTCACTGTGTACAACAGAAACATGACAGGTCCAAACCACCATATATACATACAAGTTTATTCACAGCAAATTCCAAATGTCAAACGGTTCAAACTACTTGTACTTATGTATGATACCACTATTGATCTTATTGATCTTTTACCACTATCCGATCTACTATATGTATAGTTGATTGAATAAACCTAATGGAGGATTAGACCGAGGAGAGAGAAGTTTGGACATTGCGATCGATTTGCTCCCTGTGGCTCTTTGCTACTTTTCTTTGTGCTCCTGTGATAGTCTAGCACAGTGCTTGCTCTGGGCATTTCCCTCTCCTTCCACTCTCACACTTTTCATATGCAGAAATTGTGGTGTTTGCATAGAATAGAGTTCAGAAAATATGGTGACAAGACCTGAGCTGGCAGTCAAATCTCCAGCCATGAGCCAAGAGCCCAAGAGATCTCTGAATGTATCTTATAGAGACTTTTAATGCGGAAATCTGTTTTGGCTCTCGGATCTAAATACTCGTGAAATCTGGACCACCAGTTCTCCTCGTCATGTGCACAAGTTCCAGTATTCACCTACGTAGTATTTTTTTTTTGAACAATGAAAGGGCCCAAGGCCCATACTTCATTGGATAAGCATCAAAGCATAGATTACAACAGGACCCAACAGAAAAAGAAAATAACAAGTAAGTCCCTGACTTTTACATGGAGGACCCCAAACTGAGAGCAAGAAACGCGATCGGGTCCTTGACAGCTGCCGCCCAGACTGAACCTCGCCACCGCCGGGGACGAACCACTTGGTGCGAGGAAATCGCCATAGAAGCACAGCCTGCTCCGCATGGCCTCCGAGTTGCAGCTGAAACTGCCTCCCATAAGGCACGCAAGCCGAGAGGAATAGAGTCGGCCGCCATTCGACCAGAAGAAGCAGAGCACCGGTAAAGACCAGCAGCCAGCCAAGGGCGCCGTAGCTCCACCAAGGAATCATCTGCTGATAAGCTCGAACTCGATCTGCAGGCTTCAGATTTCTGCATCTTCGTTGCTCCTCATCCACCCCCATGATGGCCTGAAAAAGCAAGCAACAGCAGATGGTTGCCCTCCAGATCAGGGAAGATAACAGGCTTATTGGAGAGGGAGAGCTCCTGCCAGATCCACTCCTATCTGCTCCCGTCCTCCATGGACGGCAAGCTCGGAAGGAACCCGGCGAGCACCGAACGCTGCCTGGACGCGTCGATGCGGAGCTCGAGAACGGCATAACGCCAGACGCCCCGAAGGCAAGACTCTCTCGACTACTAGATTTACTACTACTATATACAGAGGGGGGCCAACCGCCTATCCCATCCTCACGCCGGACGGCAGAGCCGCCGGAGAGAAAGAGGGAAAGGGGCGAAATCGGAGCAAGCAAGACGAATCTCAACCTGTGTGTTTGTTTTCCTCCGAGCGTTAAAGAAAATACGTAGTATTAACAATGGGATTCAATTATGGAACAGTGCCCAGTATATATTTTTTGTCTGTGTAAGTATGTTTGTGCACATCTAGTTATGCTGACGACGGTTTTACACTCAGTGCGGTTGTATCACTTTGATATGACGATTGAATGAAAATCCTTTATGTACATGGTTTGATTTCTTGTGGTGATATCAGCACACCAGGATTCAAGTCTATGATTGGCACATGTGGTCGCATATTTTCAAGGTTTTTGGCACAAATCATTCACTTGTATGACATGTTCGTCGACTTTGAGATGTCTGTGTCGATTTCGTCAATAACAAGATCTTGTCGGCTCAATTTCTTAAAGGTGCTCATAGGGGTAGTGTATTCATGTGTGCTTTCATAGCGTATGAGTGTGTTGCATGTTGTGACTTGTGAGTGCATGCGTTTGTACGGTGATCTAAAAAAACGTGTTTTTTATCCACAAAGAAAACTGGTTTCCCCCTTGAAAAAAGAACTAGAACAGCTGAATTACCGGAAATGCTACACCTACGAAATTTGTGTTACGTGTTTAACGTAATCAGCCAGCTGGTGGATTAGAATTGGAGGATTGGGAAGGAAGGGGCCTACCTTTTTGAAAATCAGGGGGAGAGAAGAGTTAGTTAGGAAGTTTACGTAGATGTTTTACGTAGGCTTACGTAGAGGCAACATTATCGGCTGAATTACAAACAGTGATATGGCCAAGAATCAAGATAAAATTACCTAGTGCGACAACAATGTACGGTCAGCGGATCTCATGTGCCATGCATGTTGGCACAAACTGAACTATCGGTTAGTGACCAATCACAATAGCTAAATGCCTAAATATACTTGTGGATGGTGATTACAAGAGAAATGCTGCAAGCAGGACAACCACCCCGACCGGAAAAGGCATCTGCAACTGCAACAGCAAAAAAAAAAGAAAAAAGAAAATTGTGAGCTTAGAAACAGCGACGGTGATGTACCTACAGTTCCTCTCAACCGCTCAAAGTACTTCGAGTGCAGTTTTTCCACCTTGTTAGGTTTTGTAAAGTTTTCTTTTTCGAGATCAATGTAGTTGAGAAAATAGTGTCTTTTTAGAACAGTTTTGGTCCCGACCCATTTGCAAGTGAAATTTGCATTCAAGCGTAAGTAAGATAATTTGGTCCAGAGCTTTCTTACTTACCGTCGGCTTGGAAGAAGCGGAGAACCCCGACGCCGTCGGCGACGACGGGCCGAACGACGCCCCGCCGAACCCGAGGTCGTACACCGACGTGCCGTTGGGGTAGAACAGCCCGTAGTTCCTCTCGGATGCCTGCCCGGTCTTCATGTTCTCGTTGAAGAGGGCGAAGACGAGCACGTCCACGGGCACATCCGGCCTGAGCGGCGTCCCCTGGCCCGCCGCGACCCTCTTCATCAGGTTCCCATTGTAGGTGGCGGCATTCTGTATAGTGGCGCCCACCTCGTCGGCGTCCCCCGCGGACGGCCACCCGGTCTCAGAGATCCGCACGGCGATGTCCTTGTGCCCCATGGCCTCCATGGCCGCGTACACGGCGTCGATCTGGGCGTAGAGCATGTTGTCGTAGGTGAGGTTGGTGCCGGGGTCATGCGCGCCGGGGTTGGGCTCGAACAGCACGTACGGCAGCGACACGCTCCCGGGGCTGGCCTTGTAGGCGAAGAACGGGTACGCGTTGATCAGGAACGGCGAGCCGACCTCGGCGAGGAAGTCCAGCAGCGGCCGCATGTACTGCGCGAGGTCCTCCCGGAACACGCCAGCCGACGGCGGGTAGCTGTTGGCGAGCACGTTGACGGACTGGGACGTCGACACGTTCACCTGGCCGTCGAGGCCCAGGTCCACCAGCGCCTGGTGCACGGCCTGCATGGCGGGGAGGAGGCTCTGCATGGCGGCCGCGTCGGTGCCGGAGAGCACCTCGTTGCCGAGGATGACGCAGGTGATGCGGGTGTCCGGGAGGAAGGGCTGGACGTTCTGCGCCACCCAGGCGCGCGCGTTGCGGGCGTCGGACATGTTGAGGAGATCCCCGTTACTGATGGTGAACTCGACGCCTGTGCCGGCGAAGGCCGTGAGGACGGCCGGGTCGGCGTCGTAGAGTTTGACCCTGTTGACGTTAAGCGACCGGAGGAGGCCGGACACCTGCGCCGGGTGCGGGAGGTTGTTCGCTATCTGGCCGTAGTTGATGCCGAACTTGAGTGGCGCCGTCGCCGCCGATACAATGCCATTGTTGGCTGCCGTCAGCGTAAGGTGCGGCGACACGTCCAAAAGAGAAGGTCAATATATGATTGGCAAGAAAATATCCACTGATGACAACATGAAAAGAAATTATATAGAAAACTAAATAAATTGGCTTGTAGTAATGCTTTCGGCTAAGAGGTCGTACTCGACCGAAAATTAATTCACAAAAATAGTGATACATGCAACACAACCAGATGAAAATTATCAAACGGAGTGTCAATATCGAATGTGCATGGTTTCAACAAGGGGTCACAGGGATCATGTAGAAAATTTATTGGTTCCACAGGACAACGTGGAAAACTCGCCGTCTTCCCTGTCAAAACACGTCGGACAGCCGACTGAAAATACGCTAAGCTGATCCTTGGAGAACGACCTCATACAAGAACTATCGCTAGCTACAATTCATCTTGAATAACATACCAAGACAGCTGTTTTGCATGATACGGTATATACGGTCAACTCGCCTCGTTTTCTCCATGCTTGTGTTTGCAAACTTGTATTCCCTCCATCTCATAATGTAGGAGATTTTTTTGACACTAGTGTAGTGTCAAAAACATTATGAAACGGAGAGAGTATTAATTAAAGGTTTACTAAAGCAGCGTCAATTAATTTGAATTGAAGGGAGTATATGTTTTTCGCATCAATGTTCAAAACTAGAAACACAAAATTCGAGGAACAGCTTTTAATTATTTAAAAAAAAGCTGTACCATGCAATCACATGCAGTTAATCACGCGCGAAAGATGGAAGGGAAGCGAGAGACGGAGGCATCGCCGGCCGTACCTGAGAGGAGCGAGAGCAGGAGGCAGAGCAGAAGCGAGGAAGAAGACGAGTCGAAGAAGAAGAAGCGACGGGCGGCAGCGATCATCCTACTCTCCATTGGCGCGTCGTCCCTTGCTCGCATCTCTCTTTCTCTCCTTGGCGTCTGCTCTCTCCTTCAGAGCGACACGGAAGGAGGAAGGGAAGGAAGGCGTCCCTCCGGCGGCCCCTGTTTCCCCGCGCGTTTATATGGGAGCAGGTGCAGGCTCGGGGCGGCAGGTCAGATTACGCACGCGACGTACTATCCTCCTGCAAGCGCTAGCTTCCAAAGTCCAAATCGCGATAGGCCAACGAAACATCCATCTCTCAGACGGCCACTCCTTCCCAAACGACTACTAGCCAGGCAAGGTAAGGTTATAGACGGGCAAAATCCAGTTTTTCTCTTTCAACACAAATATGCTCCCAGTGATGTCTGAATATTTTCCAAGTGCAAAAACTACCCTAACTAAGTAAGGAGCATGTGAAAACTGCCGTTCATACTGCGGCCGCTCGTATAAGGCGGGACGTCGATCGTACTGCAGTCTGCAGCCTCGCTGGAGCTGGCGACACAAACAAGTCGGCCGGTGAAAGTCGCTGAACAGTATTAAAACTTGCGCGTCAGCACGTCACACCAGATAGGGAGCTGGGAGCTTCATGGCCCCAGAAGGTAGGAGAGATCGGTCGTCAGGGAGACTACAGTTTTGGAACCAAATCGGCCTAACCATCTTTTCATATTGAGTTTGATCACTTGCCTCTTGCAGAAAGTTCAGAGCCGGAATAGTGGCGTGGTTTCCTTGGATGAGAACGCCATACATGAAAAGGTTAGTTAAATGGGCAGTACTCTGCGCCGGCGCACCGGCGGAACGTTTCGGCCGGTCAAACCAGAGCCGCTCGATCTGGACGCACGTTACCGTCAGATCTGCCCCACATCTCCTATCGTCATCCTCCCCCACGGGAAAAAAGAAGAGGAAAAAAGCAAGCGCCGCCGCCGCTCGCGGGATCCCGCACGCTGGCCCACGCTGCTCTGGCTTGGACCACCGTTGGCCCTGCTCGTCCCCGGCGCTCGCAGCCTCACCGCCGCCGGCGAACCAAAACACCACCTGCCTTCACCGTCGACGCAGAAGCGAAAAATGCTGGTTCCAGCAAAATCAAAAGACGGTGGTAGCAATTTTTAGGATGGTTCCAGCAAAGCCAAAACAAAAACAAGGGTGGTAGCAAAAACTCCTGATGATTCCAGGAAGACTCTGGTAGTAGCAAAAACTCCGGTGATAGCAAATGGCATCTCCAATAGTAGCAAAAATCCGAGACAGTTGTAGCAAAAAAAGGCATCGCCGTCGTTGAACAACATCGCTGTGGGTGGCTGTAGCAAAAAATGTCTTCAATTCCAGCAAAATCAAAATAGGGTTGTAGCAAAAAAGACAGGAAAAACAGAAGATGGATGTAGCAAAAATCGACAAACACCGATAGTAACAAAAAATCGAAACGGTTGTAGCAAAATGGTTCATCGGTTGCAGCAAAAATCACCTGGTAGCAAATTTTGGGAGGGTGGGTGGTAGCAAAAACATGGGCCGGTTCCAGCAAAAACAACACATGGTTGTAGCAAAAAAAGGAAATCCACCATCGTCGTGGTCGATTGTAGTCCGACCATGGTGACGAGCAGTGGTTGCAGCACCGTCGTAGCTGCTGGTTTGCAACATCAGTGGGGCTTTCGTCTCCATCTACGGCTGGTGCTGATTGCAGCACCGTCGTCGGTGCGAAAATCACCACGGCGGCTGCATGGCCATGGTCTCCGTGGCCATGGGGGAGGGAATCTGGAGAGAGCGCAGCCATGAGCAGCAGCCCCCACGGCCGATGCGGCGTCCCACCATAGCAGCAGCCCTGCGGCTGAGTGGGGTGAAAAGGATTCGGTGGGGAGTGAATCGAGGAGATGTTGATCGCGCCAGAGAGAGGGAAAAAGAAGGGGATCGAATGAGTGGAGGTGCGCTCTCGGGAAGAAGATAAGCGAGAGAGAGAAAAGCGGTTTGTGGGGCCACATATGGCGCAAGTGGGACGGTGGGATCGCACGGGATCAAACGACGCGTGCGAGTCCGGCGGAACGTTTCTGCCGGTGCGCCGGCTGGAAACGATTCCCTAGTTAAATTCCTTCGTTGGCGAAGGAATTTCTGAGTTTGGTTTGTTTCCAAAAATCAAGAAGAGGAGACAAAATTTGAGTGCCCTTTGATGCTCTCAATGTTTTTTTAATCTTTAACCATGCCATGTAATGGTACATAAGGGGTAAAAAAAACTCTAGCTTGATTGGGACAACTCCAACGGGACTGTGGTATCCCCAGCTCAGCAGGTTTCAAGTCCTGGTGCTCGCATTTATTTCTGGATTTATTTCAGGATTTCCGGCGATACGCATTTAGTGGGAGGAGTCGTTCCCGTCGACGACGAGGCGCCTACGATGACTTCGTAAATTTTAAGATGATATGCCGGCTCAGTGTTTCGGAGGTGCTCATAGGAATATGATGTGTGTGCGCGTTCATAGAAGTGAGTGTATACGCGTGTATATGAGCGATTGCGTCTGTATTGATGTTAAAAAAAACATGCTTCCCTACTTGTCCGCAAACACGATCAGCTTGTCGGCCACCGAAGGGTTATCCAACGGTATCCCCTACTTGACCACGGACAAACTGCATGCAACTGCTAATGTTTATCAAAAAGTATCCAAAATTGCACAAACATAAACTTAAAAGGTGTCTCATCAACCGCGGCGGGGAGGTATCCTGGCAGTGGAGGAAGCCCAATATGCCGTCACACCAGGGCGGTGGTTGCTCGGGGCGGTAGGCATTGAGTAGTCACACTTTACGGTGATGAGTGCATTTTGCATCATATTTTACTTATTGATTTTGCATTGTAGACGTATAATTTTCATGAACTTTAATAGTGAGCCTAGCAAGTGTCCGCTGTCAGGGGGAGGTGCATGAAGACTTCTAGCCTGTTATTGACAAGGTAAAGTCGGCTTCGGTAAGGGAGTGACGACAGTGGTACATCGGCGACTTGTTCTGGTGGTAGCGGTCATCTGAGATCACCTTCGAAAGTGATCCAACAGTGGAATCGGTAGAAGGGCATCCACCTCGACATTGCTTCAATCACGGGGGCTACGACATCGACATCCATCCTAATGTCACCATCCATGCTCATCATCGACTCTTCCATCAATATCATTGTAATCCAAAAACCTATTGTGGATTCATAACGTGTATCACTATAATCATTCATCTGCTATTAATATGAACACCTCAATGATGTCTAGTGTCCCCATGTCTGAGTAGTTTTTCTAGTTTCGGTGATACGGAGGAACCCTAGTATTTCTATGAACTGAATGCAATAAGATATTAAATCTATGCAATATGGTTATGGTAATGTTCTTCATGATATTGTTTTTTTCTTTTGTTTCTTCTTCTCTTTTTATTTTTTATTTTATTTTTTCACATGTTAATTCATGAATATTTATTAAAAGTTGCGGGCATTTTAAAATACTATGTACTTTTGGAATTCATGAACATTTTTTGAATCCAGGAACATTTGGAGAATTCATGAATATTTAAAAGTTCATGAAGATTTTTTAAAGCCTATGAACATTTTTTAAATTAAAAAAATCAAATTCACAAATATTGTTTGAAATCCATGAACATATTTTAAATTCATGAGCATTTTTTCAAAATTCATGTTTTTACATCATTTTTCAAAATTCAAGAGTTATTAAAATATGCAAACTTTTTAAATTTGATGAACTTCTTAATACAGTAAAACTGAATCTAAACGCAACCCTATCACCTAGCCGTCTGATCTCCTGGTTGGCCATCCTAGAACATCAGATCTGAGTGCACTTCCGCACGGACTAACTGTGCATGGGCCGAATGTCCTATAGGGCCGCTACTCCATGAGAAAATCTGAGCCCTCTGGTTAACTGGGCCTTTTTCTCCCAGCCTAATTGGCAAAAATGTTTTTTTATTGACTAGACTATTCTGGGCCATCGGTGAGAACAGACTGCTTGGGATGCATCTGTTGATCGGGCTTCATGGCTGTTAAGGGCATGTACAATGGTTGATAAGATAGTGTTATCTTAAGTTTTGCATTTAAATTAGAGATGACAAAAAAAAACATGTATACAATGGGTCATTCTTAGCCTTATCTTCAATAATTAGTTGTTCCTAAAAACATGGTGAGATAAATTGTGCTAAGAGATCATCTCTTGTCTTCTCTTAAATAAGAGAAGACAAGCCTTATCATACGATTTCACTCTCCTCCACCTCATCATTTATCCTACGTGGCACTCTTAAGATAGAACCATTGTACATACCCTAAGGTGTATGTGGACGGGGTGGTAGCTAGATCGCACCGGGGAGGAGCAATCGCTGCAGTGTGTAGAGTTGGGACATGTTTGTACCTGAGCTCATCGGCTGTCGTCTTTCAGGGCATAAGTGATCCCCTAGTCTTGGGGACATATGCATGCCGGGAAGCATTAGCTTTGACGGATGATCATGCAGTCCAACATATTTTGGTGACTGACATCATGAAGGGGACTGGATGTCCAAATGCTGCCATAGTACATGAAATTAAGGAACACTGTAATAGTTTTATCTCTTTTTTTTCATTCATGAGCGCAGGAACCATAATTATAAGGCTCATAATCTCGTCAAGTTTGCTTGTAATCTAGGCATAGGTAGACATGTGTGGTTGGGCAACCCCCATGACCCAAACCTTGTACCTATGACCATTGTTCAGAATGAATAAAAATGGCGAGATCTCTCAAAAAAACTCTGTCAAAGTTCACCTAAAAAAACTCTATCAAAGCTTCTAAAAAAAGCTATCTCTATCAAAAAAAATGTTCTCTCAAGAAAAAACAAATAGCAGCAAGTACCCGGAGGTGCCGCTTTTGTTACTCGCTCTCTCCGGCTTCAGGTTAGGCGCCCTTGGTCTTCATTTTTTTAAACACAGTATAGACGCAAGCGCTCATATATACGCACATACACTCACCTTTATGAACGCACATACGCGCCCCCTACCCTTATGAGCACCTCTGAGAGACTTAGCCGGCATATCATCTTGAGATTTTACGAA